GTCCATCTTCATGCTTATTTGGTGCTTTGGGTTTCATCTGAGATATTGATTCAATTTCTCCCTAATCATTAATTTAATCACAAAATTTTATGATGTCAATACATTAATAATTACGAAAAAAAAAAAATAAAGCATCTGCAAAATTAGAAAACGTTAAATGATCCAAATCGAACTCTTTTTCTTTCAAAAGACTTGTTTGTTACTTCGGTGTAATTGCTTTGTCGTCCATTAATGAAATACTTGCTTGAAATACTTGCTTACATTATTGCGAAAAGCTTGACGCGAGATAATCAATTGAGATTGAGGTACAACCTCATGGCCATCTGGATCATGCTATAATATTATTGAACATTATGTGATTAATTTTTGTATTTTGGGAAATTAAAACTTAATCATTTACCATATCTCAAAATGCACATCCACATTACAAAACATCAAGGTTTTCACATCCTTGTGATGAATGAATAAGCTCTGATAATTTTCCTTGCCTCATTTTATTTGCACGATATCCAAATACAAATAAAAGCGCGTCATGACATTAGATTTTTCAGAACCATTTGGTCCGACAATCGCAGAAAATGACTTTTGAAATTAAAAAAATTTTATTAGAAAGAAATCTCGTGTCGCAGCAAATCTCAAAATATATATTATACCTTGTGAAAGGGGGCCTATTTCAATTTTATCAAAATACGACTTAAAGTTGTTCAAAACCATTTTTTTTTTTTTGATAACAAAATGCTGTTTAGGTTCAAGAAAAGTAACCTGACGCGTATTTGTACCCAAGGAACTTGAAGCCTTTGGTAGAACAGAATGAGCACTGTCCATAGAAACTCTAGTGTGAGTTGGTAAGCTAATATTAATATTACTGGAGACAATATGAAATTACTAGGGAACGGTTTCGGAAACCGTTGTTAAGTCCGGAGCGTAAAAGGCGCGGGTAAGTTGTGGGAGATTCGCGGTCATTACCAAGAAATAATCCAGGCATATTCAACTTCATTGACCGCGAAAATTGCCTAACAATAATTGCCATCCCTCCCCACAATGATTATTACAAAAATGAATAATTATAACAAGACACCCAATCAAAGATACTTACGATAATTTATTAGAAGGGATGTTTCGTTCGGGGTGAGATAGGGATTTGAATATTCGCTAATGGTTCCCATACATTAATAAAATAATCAAATTTACTAAAAATAAATTTGATTAAAAATGATTTGATAACAAATCATCCATAATCTACATAAATAAAAAATTTTTTCATTAATAAAAATCGTGAATTAAAAATGATAAAAAACTAAAATATTTCATCAATTCATCAAACCAAAATCTATATAAATCAAAATGAATAATCAATTTATTCATCCCAAAACGCTATAGCAAAATTAGTGAGACACCTGACCAACGCGAAGCACGTCTCAAATGCGAACGCGAATACAAGCATTAAAAAGAGCAGATGAAAGTGAAACAAATCGCTGGCAAGTAATCAGAAACTAAAAAAGCAAAGGAATTGGAGATGCATCTTAATCATGATAGTGAACGCAAGCATGAAGAGCGAGTTCGTAGCCAATAAATGCTTAAAGAAATAATAGAGCCTATACAAAGAAATGAAAAATGGGTTAATAAAATAAATCGTTATGAATCAGCAATACGTGATCGAGAAAGGACCTAAAGAGGAAACCATAGTTCAGTTCCTCATTCAGTTTCAAACCTTGGATCAAATACAGACATTAAAATAAGTGAGAAACAACATTGTGTCTTGCAGAATTTCTGAAACAAAATGAATATAATAAATGTAACGTATATAATGAGTGCATGCCATCAATGAGGATCATTAAGGGAAGGTGTCACTGTTGCAATCCTGAAAAGAAATTTCCAAAGAGGTTTTTAGCAGAAAACAACATGAATTCAGATAATATTCCTGAAGAATTTCAAGAACTCATAGATATTGAAGAGATGCTTATAGCATAATTCTTTACAGTGATGACAGTATACAGACTCTGAGACAGACAAAATGGATACAGAGGTAATGTTATAAATTTTCCTCAAGAAATACAAGAATTTACAAATCAGATACCTCAACATTAGATATTCTCATAGTAAGACAGAAATCAGAAAATGATTCAACATCATTCAGGGACTTTAAGATATAAAGAAATAAGGTCATCAATGTACTAATTTGGTTAAAAGCAAACAATTGTTACTATAAAGATATAATTATTGATACTTAAACTCCACAATTCTTACCTAAAAACAATTTAATTATCACACTGCTACTGCAAATCCAGAATGATCACACAACAGAGAAAAATGAAAATGAAAGTAGAAAAGAAGCAATATTACATATATTTATACATTCAATGATACTAATTTAAAGAAAAGTCATTATCATCAATAATATTCTTAATCGTATACAAAGTAACAATCCTATATTAATATGGCTAGAGATAAAAAGTACACTTATAAACAAATTTTAAACTTCTGGTTATATAGTGCAAGTATTCCTATCACTTTATTCACATGGCCATGAGAATTTTTATTCTGAATGTTTCTGGAATATCAAATCAGCTAAATACTTTAAATATCTAATATAGTATAAAAATGGAAGATTTGAATAACACATATGTTAAAGATATTTTATACTAAATTTTTTAATACAATAGAGGGTTCTGTAAAAAGATAAAATATATATTAGATAGAATTTAAGTGAAGAATAGTTTAAAGTTACTGATATAAAAGAAATGATAAACAATAGTGATAAAAATTAGCAGACAAGATCATAAGATATAGGAAAGGAATAAGAGATCAAGATGATATGATAGTATTGTCTAATATGATTAAGCAAATTGGATATTAAAGACCATTATTTTTCACTTTTAATGCTGCAGACATGCATTAACTTGAACTATATAAATTAATATCAATTGATGAAATTTCAGGCAAAAAGGTAGGTAGATTCAAGTAAATAGTATCAACAGAATATTATCAGTAATCTGCATTTAGTCACATAGTTCTTTAATAAATGATTCTAAAGTTTTTTTAATGATATTCTTATATCACAATAGATTTAGAAGACTATTGTACTGGTTCAAATAGCAACATTAAGGAAGTATGCACATATATGGAATAGAGAAGAAACAAAATATAGCAATTATTAATTAGAATCTAATAAAGAATGATAAAAATATCGTAATAAAATATATAGATTCAATTGTTATTACAATCGATCCAGATATGAATGCATCTATATGGAAATGTTTCCAGTAAAATCAAGTCATAAGGTATAGTAAATCATATGATTTGTAATGTGATTTTATTGAAAACACTCTCATATTCCAATATTACATATCAAAAAGTTTTAGATGAAAATTGATGATAATTTACTAAATTACATTAAATTAATTAATAAATTACAATGTCATACAAGATGTAGTCCTTTATATTGTATTTGTATCAACTGAATAGGTTAATAAATATGTAGATTCAGATATTTCAAAGATTATAACAATCATATATTCATTCATAATGACCAAGACAGACAACCAGAATTCATATTAAAAAAAATTTTTTAAATAAATCTACATAATCGAATGCAACTGCAAAGATGGTGAGCAAATGTAAATCTTAAGCCAGTCCTTAGCATTCACGTGATATTGCAGTACATTTTCAAGTACACAACTAAAGACAAATTTAGATCAATCGCATTTTCAAAAATATTCAATCAAATTCTTAACAACAGTAATCCAGAAGATAAATCACTTACCTCAATACAGAAACTCCTGCTTAGAGTTTGAATCTGTATATCTATAATCTGTATTTCCATACAGATAATGAATTGCAGATACTCATTTTACTACTTCAGATAATATCTATGAATAAATAATTTTGTATGAATAATCTGTGAATAATCCTTATATCTATAGATAATTATGAAAAAATATTATTCCAAAAGAATGATGAAAAAATATTGTTCTTAAGGAACAATAATTGAATTGTTCTAAAAGAACAATGAATAAATATTGTTCTTAAGAAACAATAATTGAATTGTTCCAAAGAACAATGAAAAAATATCATTCTTAAGGAACAATGAAAAAATAATCATTCTAAAGGAACAGTTATGTATCGTTTCAAAGAATAATAAAAGAAATTATTCCTTTAGAATGATTATGTATCGTTCCAAAAGAACAATAAAATAAATCATTCTAAAGGAACGATAATGTATCGTTCTGATAGAACGATGAAAAAAATAATTGTTCTAAAGGAACGATTATGTATCATTCTAAAAGAACGATAAAAAATAATCGTTCTAAAGGACGGTTATGTATTATTCCAAAAGAACGATAAAAGAAATTGTTTTAAAGGAATAATGATATATCGTTCTGATAGAATGATGAAAAAAATAATCATTTTAAAGGAACAATGATATATCATTCCGAAGAACTATAAAAATCGTTCAGAATAATGATAAATTGTTTCTTTGGAAACGATTTTATCAATATCTACAGAGGGCGATCAAAATTATCCGGCCACTATTCAAAATGAAAAAACTTATATATGTATTGTATATTAAAATTTA